TCATTTTTTAAAATATAAGTCTCTTATCCCACATAGATTGGTACTCTCTTGGAAATAAAAAGTCGGCTTAGCTAAATACTGGGTTGCAACTATTAAAACAGGCGTATATTTTTCTGAAAAATATTGATGTGTTTCATTTAGCATGAGATTCGGGAGACACATCCCAACTACTACAACTTTTATATTAACAATTTTTTAATGTACCTTATGATAAGCCCTGTAGATGGGTTGTGAAATTATAACCCCGCGCACTTTGATAACCAGCGACAAGAGAAGTTGGAGACGCGACTATCACGAAACTAAATATCAGCGTAAAATTCGAACTCTCCGCATTCACAAGAGCCCTTATCAATTATTAAAGTTTCATGCATACGAAATTGGGAAGCTGCTAGGCAGTGAATGAATGAACTGTGAAGTTGCTGACACTTCATCGGGGACGATCAATACGGTGCCAATCATAATACGGCTCCGTATTTGAGATGGGAAGGAGGCGAGAAGGGAAAAAATGGATGTCTAATACCCGAGAACGTTTGTGATTCAAGAATTATTTATTTCGAACATAGAGCAAAAGCAACTCTCAGACCGGTCTAAGTAACGATCGAACTTTTTCGAAACAAGATATGATCTATGAAACACATTTTCTGTTTTATTATTTATTTTATTTGTGATATGTCAGACTTGGGTGCGATTAAAGGGTTTCAATAGGTCATCAAACTGAAATATACCAATTCCCATGTTTAATGTACCCTTAAGTAAAAGATTAGAAGCCAAAGGACAAAACCATTTGATATTTCAAGAGTTAAAGAACACAGTCCTTATTACATGAATATTGTACAGTTTTCAGCGAATGTATCACGTGAAAGCAAAACTCCAAGACTACTAAATTCCGTGAACTAATAAATGCAGCTCTCATAACACTCGTGTTAAGTACTCTACGCTGTTGACTGAGAGTGAAGAAACATTTTTTAAAAACGGCGGTCAATAAAAATGCCGTTTAGGGTGCAGTGAGGATGAGTTGTTGCGGAGGGTACTAAAAATGAGTGGAAATTGAAAAACTATTTGTTCAATACACAATTTACTTGTAAATTGCGTTTGCTTTTGAACAATACGATAGTCATGACTCTTGAGTTATAGTTTCTGTGGACATTCATTTAAGACTGGAGAATGTTTGTAGGAAATTATAAAAACTCACTATGGATTGAAACTTAGTATGCCAAACAATCCGCCATTTTCAAAGATTTTAACTTACGTGGAAAAAAGCAAATTGAAAAACCTACACGTATTCGTAAGATGATATTCAGTCACGTCTTAAAGAAAAATGTAAATAGAAATGAATTGGCCGGACATTTTTACGAGAGCCCTCTGTTATCGTCAACAGTCTCGTCGAGTTTTATGGATGACGCTGTAAATTCCGTTTTGGAGATTGTGCAATATTGTGCCGCAGTTTCAGACGTACAACTATGGCTCGCACCAAATTGCCTCCGTCATAACAATGTCGTGTTCCTATTGAATTCGGGAGACGCGATATCTGGGCGGATCTCTTTCACATATAATATGAACTCAGTGGATTCTTGTCATGATTCAAAGGTCAAAGGTTGCTAACGTTACTAGGAAACTGAGGTAGAAGTTACATCGTTCCACTTCAGATTTTAGAACTTCAGTAATTAATTAACTGTTTTTCATTCCCACACAAAATTGGCAAAGTAAAGAAATAGTACTTTAAGAAGGAAGTTTTCAGTCTTCCGTTCTCATATTATAACATCTACGATAAACCGTGCAAAATCAAAAAATTAGTTACCTTAGGTTCTTCTCTATTCAAAATGGATGGAGCAGTAAAAATTCTGTGATTTATTAATTATTATTTTTACAAGTAATTTTTTGTTTTTTTGATATGCAAGCATACTGTATACTTTTCCACAATTCGTGAAATAAAAATGTCTATACTTTATTAAAAACCAACCCATAAAACCACATTAGAAAAAAAAACGAAACAAGCTCCTTTGGAAATATTTAAAAAAAAAATCTTTGTTCGGGATTTAAAATGTATTAGATGTAGGCCCTATTTTTATACTTAAGAATCTTTTTTTATTTCGCAATTTACTATTCACGCATGTATATAGACATACCTTGTTATAACAAATATATATGAAAAACTGACATTCTTATTAATAAAATGTTTTTTCAACTAAATTTAACGCCCTGTATAATAGAAACGGTGCGTTAAAAAATAATGTTATCTTATTACTTTAGGGGTAACTATTTGACCAAAACTATATTGAAATTTAGCTAGTTTCCATTGAAACAATGCCGCTCGCAAAACAAAACCCAGCAAAATACATAATGACTAATAACCGCAAGTCGTAATAATATACCATACATGGTAAACCCCTATAACACATACACACACGCATAATATAGTACTCGCTGCCGATATTGTGGTAAGATAAACACGAACACTAAACGTATATTACGGGGTTCATTCATTAAAAAAAATACCCCACGCTCATTGCAGTGGGTAACGCATCTGGTGGGGAAAATTTTATCGCCGACATTTAAATCGGATGTTCTCGATCGGTTGCAATTTGATACAATGAAATCCACCAATCACACAGATCAATATTTAAAGTTTTTGGAGCCGAACAATATTGGTCTAGCAGAGCAGGCTGATTCAGAATTGGATTGAGGGATGATAAAAATCTCATGGTAGTGGAATATTTTGTAAAAAACTTTCTCGGTTAGAGTTTGATGGAGATATTAGCAGCAGCTAAATGGGAAAAAACTTGCATTTTTATCTGCTTAAAAATAATCAAGGTCTATGTGATCCTAAATCGAGACCGCTACATACAGGCTGATCAGCATTTTAGAAAATGCACAATATTTTATTTTTCAAAATTAGGCTAAGATACTGTGATTTTAAAAACCTGACAAGAATCCTCTACTCCTATTAGGTTGTGCACGACCGAAATCAACTTTTTTTCCGGGGGACATGTTACATGGATGAAGGTAATTTCTAATGAGAATTTTAATAATATCAAACATTCGGTTTCTGGTACTATTTCGAATATTTTGTAACACATATTGGAAATTTGACTAGCAAAACTTGTACAATGAATAAGACATTTAATGTGGTTTCTCGAAAATACATACTTTGGTCTGTAAAGTTTTTTAATTTGGGATTATGTATAGGAATATTCGTTCTTAAAAACCAAATCAAATTCTTTGATAAACTGGATTCTAATATACCTTTGGACGTACGAACATTCTGTCAAAGTACTTTTTTACTGTTTTTAAAATTATACTGCTGTGGAACTGATGATCATTTGATTCTTTCAAATCTTTGTACGTATTTTGACTACCACTACCATCAGCACCCATTTTGTACACCATTTGTAAATTAATATTAAAATCATAAGAATAATAAAAAAATCTTCTTCAGCTTAACTGTATGGTATAAAAATGATTGATACTTCCTGATTCTTCAATGGCCACGATTGAGTTTGGTGGAGGATAACATTTGTTCTGGGGTTTCAATAATCTTATGGTATAAATGTTTAGTGTCCCTAACAGTAGACAAGTTTTCAATCTGTATATTTTTTAAGTCTTCATCAGTAATACGGTTTACTATATATTCAATTTAATTTACCAGTTGGTTAGTTACAGTTTTATTTTTTGAAACCTTCTTTCTGCTAACGTCGATAGTGCCCTAAAAAATAAATGAAATATCGGAAAGAGACAAAAAGTGGCGAATAAATTGCGTAACTGGGTCGAAACTTTTCGTAAGTATATAAAAGAACTATTTCAAATTTCATATTCCTTTGAAATTATCTCCCATTTTCCTTCCAATTTGGCACATTTAAATACTTCAAAATTACGGTTAACTCTGTCAATAATGCAACTGTCTCATTTGTGGCTATCCAAGTTTGGATCGTAAATTATAATGTTTGAACGAAATATTCTCTTTTCATATTTGTATATATATATATATATATATATATATATATATATATATATATATATATATATATATATATATATATATATATATATATATATATATATATATATATATATATATATATAGAGTGTATATTGTTAGATAGTGTATAGATAGTGACACGTTTTATGTAGATCCCAATTCTGAAACTAGCCGCAATTCTCTTACTGTCCAAATGTTTTAGACTGAGTATCAAAATATCTTAAAGTTACTGAAATGCCAACGTGAGAAGCGGTTTCTAAAACCGGTAATGACTATTAATTTCTTCGAAAACCAGTAAATTCAATTTCACATCTCAGTCTGCTTTTGCCTCACCGTTTTACGATAGTTTTATGATAGTACTTCAAGTCAAAGGAAATTTTGTACCAAATACAAATAGGAAATGCAGTTAAATAACTCCCCTAAGTATATTTATTCTGCAAGCGCGGTATTTACCATTAAATAAAATATTTATATCGCATTTAGCTCAGTTCTACTGAACCGTGAACGCTCCTTTCAGGTTTCCCCCTTTATTTAGAATTAAGACCGGTGCTAAATGTTTTAAAAATAAAAACGTAAGGCGATTTGGAAAGGTGCTTGGTTCTTAGTCTACTTCCGAATGAAATTTGAGGCGATAAAATTTAAAACTTTGAACGGCGTAAGCTGATTTGCGGAAGTTTCAAATGCCAAAACTTAAAAAATTAAATTCGTAATGCAATTATCGAGGCGCTGGAATATATTTTTAAGGGTTTTCGCTATAGGAGAGAACAGCAAATGTTTCAATAATCCTTCTTTCATAACTCTGCGAATGGAATTACAAAATATGGGCATAAAGAACAACTTAAAATATTTAGGCAGCTGCCTAAGAGACTTTCTGTTGTCTTTATTAAATATCTATTTTTCCACTGTCTAAACAATTGCACTTGACTTTAATCACATTTAAGTTCGATCTATTACTTTACTTGCTATAAAAATTTGGCATGAACAAAGAAAATGTGGTTAGTGTCAATTCGTTTTTCTATTCCAGATTCGATGCAAACGCTTTGCAAGAACCATTTCCTTCAGCAGCTCTACCGCAAAATCGACGGAGCAGTGCTCTATTCACAGAATGAACGGAACTTAGACTGCGTCATCACTTTCCAAACGCACTCCATTCTGCAGAGGTTTATGCTCAGATTTGATGGACTGCAGTTGGATTGCAATGACCATCTCTATATTTACGATGGGGCCCATGCCGTTGGAACTTACAAGGTAGGGTCATTAAAAACTATAGTCATACATACAAATTACAAACTGTTAATGATAGGAAATATCGAGGTGATAAAATGACGCATGCAAGTAATGTAACCGTGAACCATTGCTAGAAGATGTGGTGCATGGCTTTGACAGTTGGCAAAAATGTTTCAAATGTTAGTCAGTTATCAATCATCTATGATCTATGATCCTTATTTAAATGCGTTTATTCCTGTTTTAAATGAATTAGAATTTTTTTTATTTGATTGATTTTATTGATATATACAGGGTGTTTTAAAACAAATGCGAAAAACTCAAGAAATTTGTTATTTGTGCGTAGGTTTAAAAGCCAACCATTACGGAGATATTGTGCTACAAATATCACCAAAATATAATGTTTTTTTTTTTTTTTTAACGAAAATTGATCGAAGCGTATAAATAAAATATTACGGAAGTATCGTTATCATAAAAACCATCTTTGACTGAGACTACCCTTGTCATTCTTCTCAACTAAATTTAGCAAATATATTTTTTCTGCTTTATTTAAAAACGTTCTTCTTCTGCAATAAAAAAATCTAGCTGGCGTCTGTCCCTTCTTAATGTATTTCTTATTATCACTTTATTTCTCACTGATCAATTATTTACTCCAAGTTTCATGAACAAATTGCCAAAATTTCCGTGTCATTGCGTAAGTTTTTTTTTTTAATTTAAATAAAAAGAATGATAGGGGTAGTCTAATTCATTCCCCTCCACTCATTTAAGAAAAATAAAAAAAATTCAAAAATTGTATTTCTATAATAGTTATAGTTCTGTAATATTTTACTGTTCTATTTCAGTTTTTAAGATGAAAAATAAAAACAATATTTTTCCGGCATATTTGTAGAGTGATAATATACTACCCTTTATTTTAAACAAGTTTAAGTTTTTCGGATTTGTTTTGAAACATCTTGCATAACTGTGATTTTTTAATCCTAATCTTGAAAATTTGAAACATACACAAGATCAAATGAGTTTTCCAGTTCCTGAAACAAGATGTCTCAAACAATTTATGGTATAAAACCAAAACTTAAAAAATTGTTTCTCTTTTTAAATCATTAACGCAAACTACCTACGCACTACCTATTTGGTATTCAATACAATACTTGATTCTTCAAAATACCCAATGCTTTCCATACGCGTATGAACAAAATAGTAACAAAATTGGTAAGCAAAAAATTCTCTAGACTGTCCATAATTTCAGAATGGGACAGCACGTGGAGATTTATATTGTTCGGTTACAGTTGGCCGATTGCATTGCCTAGGCAACCAGTGAATGTCTTCGTCTCTCAGCAGTGACGTGTTTCTGTGTTGTGTTATGCCTATTTATTTTATAGGGCTCTGTTGGTTGAGTCTTAATATTTTCTAATTTATTATTCTTATATCTTCAAGCATTTTATACAAATGAGGCTCCAAAAAAACGCAATAAAAGTGAAAGTGCTTCATTGGCCATCACTGCAACCGACTTTGGTTCGCGGGTGTCTAAAATCACTCACGTGATAGTGTCCCATTCTGAAATTACATTCACTATAACAGTTCTGGCAGTTCATAGATAAGTGTCAAATAGTGGGGGAACAAACAACAGACTATGATCATCATCTAATTGTCTGAACCTCAGATTGGGCGGCACTTCATGCACTGTATTGCGTATGATCCTGCGATTGAAATGAACATAGTGCGTAGTGTGGGTTTGTCCGTACTTTAGTAAATGGAAATGGATCACGGAATACCACTAAATTTGGTTAAGTTATTTTGCGCTAGTATTTTTGTGTTTTTGTATTCTTTAACCTAGCTTAAACAATGTAAACTAAAACTGTACACAAAATATCTGTCTGGTGTTTATAAATTGGGTGTTTAGTATAAAAATATCGTCGCCATTTCGACTTAGTTTTTTAAATATACTTAACAGGTTTATAAATTATTCCCCAGACATCCCGCAGGACATGCGCCGCATATTAAACACCATATATATAGTACGACCTATAACTGCGGGCGAAATAAACTTTATAACTTACCCTATAGTAAAACTTTACAATATTTCATCAACTTCGGAGATTTACAGCGTAGAACATTTAAATTTCTCTGCGGTCGCGGTTGAGTGTTACGTCAAGTTTTAACAGCTCGCCGCTCCTAGATATACTGCGCGACCATTTAAAATTTACATCCCCATGCAAATGGGGTCATATAGAATTTATATGCTAGACGAACGAGATATCGACTTTAACGGCGAATAACTGTAAATGAAAATTTTAATTGTTTAACATGTATACTTAATATTTAACTCGAAAAATCTGTAGCCCACCCTTAAGCAGAATCAATACTTTTCTTGTCAAATGCGATTTTAAAAAAGGATATTTATTTGCAATCAAATTTTTTTAAAGCATATATAGGTGCACTCAATGAATTATATGTTATTGAATACTTCGACTTTTGCTATTTTATTCTCACTATTAAATCCTTTTCAGTTTGATTTATCCTGTAAAAACACGAAACAGACTCTGGGCGCCATGTTCACCCGTACAAATTACGTCACGTTGAAGTACACCACGGACGCCTGGGGAACTGACTCCAATGGGTTCAAGCTCGTCATTACGGCAGTCAAAGATCCAAGTAAGAGAATTATTAATTATTATTATTATTTATTCGCGTAGACAATCAAACTTTTTAATTTTAAAGTACATCGGTTGGTATTTGCCCAAAGTACCTACTATCAATTTAGTGTTAAAAATATTACGTTGTAGTTGCAGAACTAATTTAAAATAATGAAAATTGATTGTAACATTTCATTTTTAAGCAATATGAGTTTTCTATATTTCAAATAAACTTTACTTCACGATGATTAGTAATTTTATATGATCATACAAAAACCGTTGTCCGATTTGATTTATAAATTTTACTGGTCTACAGTGATTTTGATGTTTGGACGCTGCTTGCTGATTTGTACATTTTTTACAAGTCCAAGTACAAGTCCTGGGCCCTTTTTCCAAAGAACGCCATATTGTTGCTCTATCTCATCATTTTTTTCTAGAGCTCTATATCTTAAAAACGTTATTTTATGAATATGAATACCTATGACATGAATATGTTTGTTCCATGTTAAACATGATTTTTAAATGAATTGGTTTTTATGAAATTACATGTGATTTGGCAACACTGGATAATATTAGATTTTTTTGCAAAGCAACAGAGTGCTCGCAGAAGCGGCAGTACAGCGTTATAACCTGTTTATGCGCAGTTTGGTTGTATTGGTTGTCGCGCTACTGTATTCGCGACTGTTGTCTTCGTTGTCGCGTATTTTTAGTGTTTTAGTACGTATAATTACGGAAAGAAGACATTGTGTGAACAATCCAAATAATTTTTGTTATATCTGTGATAGTTATGTCGTGGTAAAGCAAAGGCAAACTATAATTTCTTTTGTGTGTACCACGCTTATCGCGCGGCAACGAATAGAAGGGGGGGAGACCTCGTGGAGTTCATGGCCTCGGCAGGGCTGCAGGTGGCCAACAGAGGGGTAGAACCCACGTTTTTCACGACGGGTCGGAGCTCGGTCATAGACTTAACACTTTGTACCAGGGCTCTGCTCCCGGAGATAACTGGGTGGTGTGTCTGTGAGGAGGACTCTATGTCGGACCATAGATACATTACCTTTGGGTTGGAGATGGGTGTTCGGGAACCCGTTAGATTTCGGAACCCCCGGGCAACAATCTGGGAACTCTATAGACAGGAGCTCCCTTGGCGCCTAGGGGGCTTACCAAAGAAACACCGGACAATGGAGGAGATTGACGAGGCCGCCGACCGAGTCAGCTCCGCTATGATACGGGCGTTCGAGAATAGCTGCCCTGAGACAGAGGAGCATAAGGCGAGAGGACTCCTTGGTGGAGCTCTTCCCTGGAGCGTCTGAGGAGGAAAGTGCGGAGGCTGTTCAATACAGCGAGGAGCAGCAGCCAAGGTACGGACTGGGATCTTTATAGAGAGGTCCGCAGACAGTACAAAAAAGAACTACGGGCATCAAAGAGGAGGGCCTGGAGGTGCTACTGCGACGGAGTAATGAACACCCCGGACGCGGCTAGGCTCCTTAGGGTACTCAGAAGTGACCCTGCGGGAAGACTGGGAGTGGTCCGCAGGACCGGCGGTGGCTACACAGCGGGACCAGCGGACACACTACAACAGTTGCTGAACACGCACTTCCCAGGGTCCGCTGGTCCGGACACAGGGGGGAATATTGAAGCCGGGGGTCGTCTTGGATGCGACTACGCCACGGCAAGGAGGGTGGTTACCCATAGTAGGCTGAGGTGGGCTATTGACAGCTTTGGCCCCTTCAAGTCGGCGGGTGGGGATGGAGTATTTCCAGCTTTGCTGCAAAGGGACGGAGGTCTCCTGACCAGCCCGCTGATGGACCTGTTCAGGGCCTCCATTGCGAGGGGGTACGTGCCCGAACTGTGGAGACACAGCAGGGTAGTGTTCATTCCCAAGGTAGGGAAGAGTGACTACACGGATCCGAAGTCGTACCTTCCCATTTGCCTCACCAGCTTCATTATGAAGACTATGGAGAGACTGGTGGACCGGTATCTGAGGGACTGGGTGGAGCTGGAGGCTCAGCTCAGCTCAGCATGCGTACCGAAGTGGCGGGTCTGTGGGCTCAGCTCTTCACCATCTCACTTCCAGGTTGGAGGAGGGTATGGGCTCGGGACGGCTGTCGGTGTGCGTGTTCGCTGACATCGAAGCGGCATTTAATAACACGGCCCTGTACTCGATCTGCAGGGCGGTGGAGAGTACTGGAGTGGGGACGGCCATTGTAAGGTGGATCTCTTCCATGCTAACCGACCGAAGGGTCAAGGCAAGGCTGGGTGGGGAGCAGGTCTCCATCGGTTCATCACGGGGTTGTCCACAGGGCGGGGTCTTGTCCCCGTTCCTGTGGTGCCTAGTGGTGAACGAGATATTGCATATTCTGAGGGAAGAACACAGGGTCTATGCTCAGGCATATGCAGACGACCTTGTGATAATGACACAGGGGACGGACGTGAGGAGGATGCAGGGGCTCCTGAACAAGGCATTGGCAAGATTCTCACAATGGTGCCTGGGCAGCAAGTTGGCTGTCAATCCTGGCAAGGTGGAGATGGTCATCTTCACTAGAAAAAGGAAGATAGAGTGCAACCTCAACATTTCGATGAATGGGGTGCCTCTTTCTGCAAGCGGAAGTGTCAAGTACTTGGGCGTATGGTTGGACTCTAAGTTGACCTTCCAGGAACATATAAGATCAAGGACCAGGTCGGCCTTTGGAACTCTGTGGGCGTGCCGGAGAGCGGTAGGGGGCACTTGGGGCCTGGGGCCGAAATCATGCAGTGGATCTACGATACCATGGTGGTGCCTAATTCGGACGCATGGGGCAGTGGCATGGTGGCCGGGGACCAAAAGAGCGGGAGCAAGGATCGTTCTTGACAGACTGCAGAGATTGGCTTGCCTCTGCATAACGGGCGCCATGAGAACGGCGCCTACGAGGGCCCTAGAGGCTCTGGTGGGATTGCCCTCTCTGGCGGATCGGGTGCAGATGGAGGCGCCCAGGACAGGTGTGAGGCTGGCGAGCTGCGGGCTCTGGATGGAGAGAACCTTCAATCGGGGTCCGTACGACATTTTAGAGGGCTGTCGCAGGGATCGCGGGGTCATGGGCATGCCGAGTGACGTCATGATCCCCGAGATGACCTTCTTTGACAAATTGACCTTTCTCTTTCCATCAAGGGAAGATTGGAGAGAGGGCAGAGTCGGCTCCCGGAATGGACTTGTCTGGTACACGGACGGGTCCAGAATGAGAGATCTGGCCGGAGCTGGAGCGTACTGCGAGACAACGGGATCGAGCTTGTCGGTCCCTCTGGGTCAGTACTGCACTGTGTTTCAGGCGGAAATTTTCGCTTTATTAATGGCGGCCAGAGAGGTGCTTCGGCTCAACCACGGAAGCAGGAGAGTCGTCTTCTGCTCGGATAGTAGGGCTGCACTCATGGCGCTGAAGTCAGTGCGTACGCGCTCCTTGTTGATAGAGGAGTGCAAAGGGGTACTGAGGAGGGTGGTTGAGGAGGGAAAGGTCACGTTGGTCTGGGTCCCGGGTCACACCGGTGTCCGGGGCAATGAGGCAGCGGACGCTTTAGCCAGAGAGGGCTCCTCGCATAGGCATATAGGGCCAGAGCCCCGCGGCGGGGAGCTCTCGAAGCCTGGGCGAGAGACCGGGCCGCGGGGGGCTCGAGAGTTGCTCCGGGAATGAGGCAGGCGAGGCTTATGATGGACCAGGGAGCTGCTTAGACTGACCAGAAGGGAGTGTAGAGGACTAACAGGGGCCTACACAGGACATTGCAGGCTTAGGAGGCATCTTTGCTTGCTAGGCATTGGAGACGACCCGGAGTGTAGGTGGTGCATGGAAGGGGAGGAGACCCCGTATCATCTGCTCACCGAGTGCCCTGCCTTGACATGGGCAAGATTGGGAGTCTTCGGAACGGCCCTGATCGATCCGGACTCAGTGCACGGTATTGGGCTAAAGGAGTTGCTGACCTTCTATAGGAGGGGCGGCATTCTGGACGCCCTCTAGAGCGACCTGGGGGCACAACGGGCCCATCTAGTGGCCTAAGTGCTTGGACGCCCGCGAGGGCGCCCCCCTTTAATACCAATACCAATACCACTCTAATCTTGCTGTAAAAATTGGCGACCAAAACAAGTCCTGGGCTCCTCATACTGTTTCTTGAAGCACTGTTCCTATGGTCTGGCGAGAGTTTAGGAATCACAGTGATGATTATTATTTTTGTTCATATAATGTTAAAGGATTCAAGAGAAAAACTAAGAAACAAATTATGTATCCCAATCTTGACTCTGCTATTCGACCAGTTCCTCATGGATCAGATATGCCGATACCTACCGCCCCAAAAGAACTAGAAAACGTCATATAGCCAGAATCAGAAGAATCTAAGTCCGACCCAGATGGGTCGGATTTCACACTAGATTTTAGAAAACCTGAAGCGTTTAACCACAATGAATTAAATGATTTAATTAGGGTGCAAATGATGAATCCGAATTATTAGCGTCCAGACTTTGTGACAAGCATTTGTGGGCACCTGACGTTACATCATGCTTTTACCGCGAACGCGGAAAAGTATAATTAAAGTTTTTTTTTCACTTTTTTTAACCAGGATTCGACCTTTTTACTGAACAAAAAAAAATGTATATTTTAGAAAAGTCTTTTTTTCCTTTAATATTTCAAAAAAAAAACCTTACGTGATGCAAATAAATGCATAGAATTTTTGATCTCAGCCTACCAAAATTACATAAAATCAGATTTCAAAATAAAAACGTCTCCCAAAAGTTTAATTTTGTAGGCCTGTGTAGTAGAAAATAGTTACAGAATTGCAAAAGAATGTGAGTTAATTTTGATAAATAACAACAATATGCTCGCTAGGAAGTAATATTTTTCAAAAATGTGTCGGCAATAATCAAATGAATTAGTTGTTATAAACCTGTTAATAATAATTATTAATTAATAAATTGTTCCTCATTAATAAACCTGTTTAAATTTACGCTCTTAAAATGTGCGTTTTAAGTCTTGGTTATGACGAGACGCCTCTTAATCTAGC